ACCAGATCCGGGATTCTAACCATGGTCAACCATGTAGGAGTCCAGCACCTTAACCATCATGCTACCTGCTGCCCCCATTTAGCTCTATTTTTAAGTGATGAACTAAATCACCCCTTTCCTGTGTGGAGGAAGGAATGGAAGAAGAGATGAAAAGACTCAGGGTCTCCCAAAGAGGGAGTCCGTAAAATCTTTTTTTTTTTTAAAGAATTATTTTATTTTTAACTTTATTTATTAATTTGTTTATTTCAATTTGACCAGAGAGGGACAGAAGGAGAGAGAGAGAAAGAATGCCACCAGGTCCAGGATTTGAACTGTGGTTGACCATGTGGGAATCCAGCACCTTTAGCCACCAAGCCACCTGCCAACCCTCCATAAAAATCTCTGAAGGAAGAACTGAGATAAGTAAGCCTGTACCTCTCACCCCTCCCCGCACCAGAGGTGCACAGGAATCCAGGCAGGTGTGAAAGGAGCAAACAAAGGTGATAGAGAGTAATTGTGAGGCAGCTCTCAGGAAGCCGGTGGGACAAAAGCGCCTCTTGCAGAGAGCAGCATGCCACCATTATGTAGCCTGCAGATGGACCACCCAGAAAAGCTGGGATTAATTAGGAGAGAGAAAAACAAATGGGGGGGGTGCTAGGGAGGTTGGGCAGCATGGTGTCCCCAAACTGTCCCCTGGCTTGGACTCCCAAAGTGAAACAGGATACTGGGACAGGAAGACAATGAAAGTGGCGAAACTGAGTAGAGGCATGCACGCGTGCACACACACACACATACATGCATGCACACACACAATCACATCAACTACAAAGTTGTTACACAAAGGAATCAGAAAAACAACTTTTAAATATAGAAGGTGGAAAACCACATTTAACCTTCAATTATCTTTAAAAATGAACTTTGAACAGGATAGAGAGAATTTTAAAAACGACGATCTCTTAACAACAGAGTCAGGCCCACGCTCTCTTTCAAGGCTCACAGCCCGCCACTCTTTTCAACAGCCTGATGCTGGCCAAACTGAAGATGAGCAGCTGACATTTTGCAATCCCATGAAGATTCAGACAGAACGCGGTGCTGGACATCCTATTTCATAAACCCCAGCCCCACCCGAAGTACCAACCTTTTTCTCTAACAGGTGAAGAGCCGATCTCAGTATATGAAACAGCTCCCCCGAGGTCTCACAGCTAAATGGCTAAGTCAGAATTCAAACTCAAGATCTCTGTGACCTGCACGCCACCCTCCAACAGTGAGGGCTGTGCCTCTGCTCGCAACACACTCATCATTTCCATTCACGTCCCTCACATCCTCTAAGCCCTGTTGTCCACCCTCTCCTCTAACACGAAGGCTTTTTTGATCTCTTAGGAGATGCCCTGCCGGGTGGCTGCCTCTTCTGAATATCCATATTATTGACCCTATGTCTGGGCTTGTTTTCAGAACCTCCCAGGCCAGAAGGAGACCTGGCCCCATATCAGGACAAACATGTTGAAGTGTATTCACAGAACACACTGCATATAATGCTTCTCTGTAAACGGTTGGAAAGGAGTTTTAGAATTTTGCTTTGAATTTCTCAGTTTACTTAGAAATTACCTAAGCTTGCTCAGCAATCACTGCGGATACTCGAGAACTCTTGAGATAGAAGAGAGTTTATAAGTTGCTTCCGAATATGTTAAAACTTATTGTGCTTGGGGCTGGCAGCTGGCAGGTGTTGGTTAGGGGCGCTGGGCTCCCACATGGCCCACCACGGTTCGAGTCTTGTACCTAGTGGCTTACTTTCTCACTTTATCTTGCTCTGCCCCTCCCTGGCCAAAATTAAAAATAAATAAATATAAATAAAGCTAAATAAAATAATTCTTTAAAAAAAAAAACTTACTGTGCTTATTAAGTTTAACAGTAATTAAGACTTACATGCATTTTGGGGGCCAGTAGGTTGCATGGTGGTTAAGGTGCTGGACACTCATGGCTGACCATGGTTCGAGTCCTGGACTTGGTAGCTTGCTTCTTTTTCATTCTCCTGCCCCCCATGTATGTATGTGTGTGTGTGTGTGTGTGTGTGTGTGTGTGTGTATGTCTCTGGTCAAATTAAAAAAATGAGTGAATAAATAAAATAAATCTTTTTTTTAATAGACATGGATTTGTAGAGCTGTAAGCATTCATTTAGATTTGCAAGGGGTTCCCCCCAATGTAGGAAACTATTAATATGATTTTTTTCCCCAGGTCTGAAAGAAGGAAAATCTGGTAGGTACAGAGCCCTGCTCCCACACTGCCTGACAGAGCCGCCAGCACACCTCAGCCACATGCTGCCATGTGCGAGGGTCACGCAGGGGCCTGCAGTGAGTGCCCCCCCGCCCGTGTACTCACACTTTTCAACTCATGGAAGATCGTGACTTGTCTTGATGACTTATTATTTTTTTTTGCAGTAACTAGCATGGCTGCCTCACCATAAATGTTTAATGAATTTACTTATTAAAAAAATTAGTCATAAACAAACAGAAAAACCACAACTTCAGCCACCTACTCCTGAATTCCTTTCCAAGAGTTATCCAAAATTACAGGTATAGTTACTTGAAATTGTATTTCTAAAACCTCTGAAAATATTGGGATTTTCTTTCTTTCCTCCCTTCGTTTCTTTCTTCCTTTCTTTTTTTCTCTATTTGCTAGCAGGAGTAAGCACTTGCTAGGTAGAAACAGAAAGAGAGAGAGGGAAAGTGATAAAGTACCCCCATGAGGGATGGCCACGTTTCAATCTCTTGTCCTCTATTTCTCCTTCAGGGATTTTGGCTACACACACACACACATGCACTCAGCATGTTTTTCAAACCACCAGGCCCAGGACTCGAACTGTGCATATGGGATCGAGCCGCTTTAACCACCACGCCACTGGCTGGCCCAGATTTTCTTTCTTTAACAAAAGAACTTCTAGATCTTTGTTTCACTACTGGTAGCTACAGATTTTCTCCTCAGATTTCATGGGAAGGTTGTACTGAGAATTTTCTAGACAGTCAATGCCCCTGGTACTGGCTCCCTATTACACTGCAGATTGTTCCCAGCCGGGGAAATTTCCTTTGGTAGAATATAAAATTAAACCAAATGCACTTAGCAACGTTTTTCACATACATGATGAAACAAACGCTACTCACACACTCAGCTGCTACGTGAGAAGAGCAGGCAGAGGCTCGGTGAGAGATAAGGAGGGCAAGGAATAGCACTGGTGCCGTAGGTCACATGATCCCTCTCAACAAGGATTCATTAAAAACGGCAGAAACAAGAATTCATTAAAAACCATCTCCCGGGACGAGCAGTTAGTATAATGGCTATGTCGCTGGACTCCCACGTAGTCGACTGCGGTTCGCGTCCTGGACCCGGTGGCTTAAACTCACGCTGGGCGCGTGTGCATGCATGCCCAAGATCCCGAGAGGAGAATGGAGGAGAAGGGATTGCGTCATGACTGTCCCCCCTGGGGAGTGATTTCCTGCTTTCTGTCTCTCTGTCTCTGTCTGTCTGGCGAGTGCACACACCCTATAGCAAAAACCTCTCAAAAAAAAAAAAGAAAAAAAGAAA